AAAAAAGTACTGTAAATACCGAGGAAAACGGTTCCCCCAGCGAATTTCGAGTTTTTTCGGCTTTTCGTTCGAGACAGCAAAGTTTAAGACGCACAGTCCAGAAGTAGGGGTGGCAACTATATAAGAAAGTAGGACATCGCGAAAGTACTGTAAATACCGAGTAAAACGGCTCTTGTGGTGATATTATTGGTTGTGTTTGTGTAACACTGTCGTCATCATCCTCCCCCCACCCCCCCACCCCGCCCCCCCGCAGCAAGTCCAAAATCAAGAGGCCGACTCAGCAAACTCGGCAAGTGGACTTTGAGGCCTCTTATGATGATCGTACATGACGATAGTGCTGTAAATACCGAGTAAAACGGATGTGCTCTTAAGATGGTTTTAAGCAAGCGTAGTTGGTAGGGGGGGGGGCGCCTACTACTACTACTACTACTACTACTACTCCTTCTGCTACTACTACTACTACTACTACTACTACTACGACGATTACGACTACGACTACGACTACGGCGACTACGACGAACACGACGACTACGACGACTACGACGACTACGACCTCTTCCTTCTCCTCCTCCCCCTCCTTCATTTTAAGACTGTCTCTACATTCTAGTTTGTTTCTGCTTCATCATTGTGCTGGTATTCATCAGTATCGTTATGACGCTTATGAGGTCTGATATGCCTTCTGAGCCAGGAACCTGTGCATCCTTCCAAGCCACACTTGCGGCCAAAGCGAGTCTTGTCCTCGGTTGCATGAGTTGCATCGCCATCTGGTGCCCGGACACACCTCAAGGTCATGCAAGTCGTGCCGGATGTGCAGCTGTGGTCGAACAGGCGCGGATCGCATGCGTCTGGCCTACCCAGCTGGCCCAAAGTGGAGCAAGATTCTCATAGACAGCTGCAATCATCTGATTTTTGGTTTGTCTCGTGGGAATGAAAGTCTCTGCGACGGGCACTAAGCTGCTGTCTCCGCAGGTATGTTCAGGTAGCATTCGACGAGGAGCCGCGCGGACACATGGTGCAGCAGAACGACCTGTTGCTGAGGCGGGGGCCAGTCCGAGTTCCATAGTGGCTCTATGCCACTATGCATGCAATCTCTAGCGGCTCGTGGACAAGACAGAATTCCTCTGGCCAGATCTGCGCCCGACCCGCGGACGACGTGCTTCAGCCGGTCTCCTAGGATCACTCGCCTGAGCCCTGCTGATGCCCGCTGAACCCGTGAGACTCCTATTTGACCTCGAGCCCGAGCGGCCGTGAAGCGGGTCTGCGAAGCTACTTTGGAACTTGCAGTCGCTTTTGACTGAGGCCTCTTCAACCCTCAGTCGGGAGATGTGTCGGGCTCGGTGTCTTTGCAGACCCGGTGACACTGTTCGAATTTTTTCTGTATTTGGGCCTGGGATCACATCCTTCTGGCCGTACGATAGATATGTTGGGGTGACGAAGAAGTTGGGCTGCATGTCAATTGCAATCTTCCTTTTCCGCTGGAAGGTATGTTGACAGGGCCATGTTGCAGAAAAGGAGTCATGATACTTTTTACTCTCGGCAAAATCCCACAACTTTTCAGCAAGACTCGAGGCAGATAAATACCACTTCCAGCAGCAGTACTACTGGAGCAACCGGGGTGGTCCTGAGCTTATCTGGCAGCCACGCTCGGAATACCTACTTGATGTGGGAACGACGGGTGCTGCCGTGCATGTGCGATTCGCTTCTTACAAGCACAGGCTTCCAGCAAGCTGATGAGATTGGTGAGGGCAAGGCCAGGTGGCTGCGAGAAGCACGTGTGTCTTGACAAGATGCTGCTCCGGAGTTGCGGATTTGGCGTCTAGATGCAGCCCTGCAAAACACTGCGTTTGCATTCGCGAGACCGCTGTGCTGTTCATCCCGCGCTCGTCCGCAAACGGCGAGGAGCCGAAGCAGGCGGGCGTAGCTTTGAATAGATCGACGAGATTGCGAGCTGACTTTTCCGACCCTTTCATGGGACAAGGCGAAGTTCATCCTCGCGCCCACGAAGATGGCACTGGCGAAGACTCTCCTTTGCAAACCAGATATCCGGGCCCCCCTTATTTCTGGTGCCCGATAGCGATCGCACCACCCGTGGATCCCAGGCTGAAGGCGCATCGTCTTGACATCGAGGAGGAGACGAAGGACCCAGAGCTGCTCGCGTTCTTGCACTGAAGAGAACCACTGGCCGCCAGCTGTGTGGTGTCAAGCTCTGAGCTGGTGAGGCGCTCCGGGTGACGGTCCGCCCTCCCGCGGCAGCAGAGTCTGCCGATCTCTCTGCCTCCGCACCTGACTCGGCGCAGCCGGACTCGGCCGAACCTGTGAACTCCGCGGAGCCCGTGGAGCCGGTTGAACCGGCGGAGTGACCGTCCCAGAGCTCCAGAGAAAACAAAAAAGAGTCCTTTCCCTTTCTGTCCCGCAAGGTATTTGCAGCTTTAATTACGGCAAACTTTTGACTGGGGAAACGGACCCGGCAAAGCATCTCTCGCATTGCAAGCCCGCAAGCAGCTTTGTGATCAAAGCACCTCTCGATACTTCTCGCAAAGCCCGTGCTTGGAGGCCGGGAGATTGCAGGAGCAAAGGGGGTCGAGCGCATTGTCGTTGTGTTTCACGACCTGCCCGTGCCGCACGTCGAGAGGGCACTTGAGGGCTTCTCCACTGTGCACGTGGCTTGCAGGTGTTTCCTGATTGCTCTTGTATCTCGGATGCCTTGACTAGGGAACAATAGCAAACAAGGTGTGTCAAATGAGTTTAGCCGCTGTCCCCAGCCTGAGAATGCAGCGTAGGCCAACTGCTCGGCTTCGTTCCTCTGGCCATGCACGCGCCAATCTCGCTGGAGAGCCAGGCGGCGGGGACGGGGACAGAGTTGCTTTTGCCCAGGGGAGACTTAGGGATGTGACTGAGTCCTACTTTGATGCTAAAGCCTTGAAGAAGAATAGATTCAATAGATGAGTTTTGAAAGACATGTGCAAAATCAAGTTCATGTTCACGGAACTGCGAAGCCTGTCGAATTCTCGCGAGCGTATGCAACTAAGCATAAGGACAGCCGGGGACCCCACCGTTTGTTTGGCCAGACCCCAGCCCCTCTCTCGAGCGTGAGCACGAGTCTCGAAGCAGAGATCCGCCAGATGAGAGCCTCACGACAGGCAGCCCCGAGTCCTGACGGGCAGGATGAGGACCTGAGTGGCGGCCTAGCAAGAGCAACGTAGTATGTGTGGTAATCACCCGAGGTGTAATGGGCACTGCAACATTGAACACTGACCGAGTGCATAGTTGCTGACCTTGAATCTGCAAAGAGGCGTCTCAGGCCCCTTGCAAAACTGGAGTTTGAGCAATTCTTTCGCTTTGGCACAAAGAGCCCCCGGCGTGACTCAGCTCCTCTGACCTCCCGATCGTTTTCAGGAGCTGGCTGGCCGGTCCGAGTTTCTCTCGAGTGGTGAGTTGCATGGCATCTCGGCTTGAATTGATCGGAAGTCTCCGTAGCATGGGAAATTCACGGAACGTAGGGCGGACCGTCCGAATTAGCATCACCCCGGTCTCGGCTCCGCGAACTGCAGGTGATTCGCAGCTCTGCCTGAATCCGGAGAGGCTTGACCAGAGTGGCTCGTCTTCGGGTCAGAGACGTCCAGTCCTCGTCGGCCAAACCAGGCCTTCGCCATTCGCGCCGGGGGTTTGGATAAGATGTGGCCATGAAGCGGTGAGAATTGCAGGTGGCAACTGAGCGAGTTTGTTGCAAGATACTGAAAGCTCAGGCAAGAAAGCCCTGGATTGGTCCATTGAGGACGAGTTTGAGGCCGACTGGACACAGGAGCTCGGGAGCTCTGCACCTCTGCTCTTTTTAAGCATCCGCTCCCCCCCCTCTGCAGGAGCAAGTGGCGGGCGAGGATGGCGAGTGCGACGGAGCTCCCGATCCACTGACGCCTTTGCGTCGGACACCGCTGGTGCTTCCGGCTAGTAGCGAGAAGTTTGCGGAGCCGGTGCCTTGGCCTGACCTCCACAGCCAAGGGGTTCTCGGCAACTCGAATTATTTGCGAACGTGCATCCTTCAGAGAGCTGCCCTTTGTCGTGAAAACTTAGGTGGTTTCTTGCTCACAGACACTGGAGGCGCGGACAAGGAGTTCGATGGTCTGGATGTGTTTGGTCTCGTTATTCAAAAAAGCACACAAGGCAAAGCCCTAGCCGACGAGTCTTGTGTCCTCTGTTTCTGGGCTCCCATGGCCTAAGCCGAAACTGCATGCTTCTAGCTCCCTCCTCCCTGAAAAAGCTCGGCCAGGCAGCGAAGGCTCCCCTGTGCTGTGGCGTCGAGGCATGCGAAGGCCCCCGGCTTGCAATAAGACTGGCAGGTGGGCTAGCTGAGTCGCTTGCTGCGCAAGGTTCTTCCACCATGCCCGCGAAGCCTGAGACGGAGATGATCAAGACATCCCTCGCCTTCAGCGAAGGCGACCTCGAGCCGCTGGAGAGACTCGGCACGCCTAACAAGAAAGAGGCCGCGTGGCGAGGCCTTCTGCTTTGATGTCTGTGCCACCAAGGCCGAGCCGTGGGGGCCGGGGTGCAGAGCTGCAGTGCCAGACCCACCTCGAGTTCTGCATGAGCTTGGAAGACGACTCTCCTGTAGCTCACGAGGAGCCCTGTGAAGAGAAGATGCTGGACTGCGACCGGGGCTCTTTCCTCGGGTCCATCCAGGAGTTGGAGTTGCGCGAAGAAGCTTCCGAGACCAATTCTGACTGCACGGGAGTCCCACATCGCACACTCGGAAACCTGGCGGTAGACTTGGCGCATGGCGATTTAGAGATGCACGGCTTCCACGGCGGAGCTTTGTCCAGAGAATCCAGCATGCCTTCTAAACAGGCAGAGGCTTGTGTCCCACGTGCTGAACTGCACGTACTTGACGAGGGCCCTGTGGAAGCCTGCGATGGCGATAAGCGGGAAGAGCTGCAACTCACACTGGGGGATTCTGCCGAAGCCCAGACTGCAGTTCGTTACGGCAGAAGCACATCACGGATTGACGTCCGCAACATCGGTCCTGATGGCTGCCTGCAGTCGAGCCAGGTTGGTGGGAATTCAGCAAAAGAGATGGACTGTCCAGGGGTTCAGGGAGAAGATCGCGAAGCTGNNGAGGAGGAAGCTCGCACGCCTGTCTTCGCGACCGTAGATGTAGACGTTGGGTTAGAGTTGGAGGGCGAGCAAGCGCCGGGTGAGTCAATTGCATGCGCAGAGCTTGCTGGTGCCGAACCACGCAATTCGGATCCAGATGTCGATATCCCAGCTATGCCAGCATCCGTGCCATCTGATTGCAAGATCACCGATGCACCACAATGCATGGCAAGCATTGAATCGGAGGAGGCTGTGCAAGAGCTTTCCAAGGGCATTGCGGAATCTACATCCAAACCGGCTGTTGTAGATTCGCCAAGCATCACCAGCGCAGAAGATGCAAACACGGGGCTGCATCAGCAGGACGAGAGTGAGTTCGGCCTGATTTTGCAAGACAGGCTTTCTGCAGCATGTGATGAGCCCTTTGAGGGGAGGCTGTGCGGAAGCGACGGAGATTTCTTGCTGGGCTTGTGCCAAGACAAGCTCGCACCTGTTTCTGACCGCACGGAGGTCCCGCATCGCACCGTCGGGAACATGGCCGCAGACTTGGAGCACATCGACGACGGAGCTGTGCGCAAGGATTCCAGACATGCTGAACTGCACGTACTTGACGAGGGCCCTGTAGAAGACTGCGATTCTGCTTTAACAGAGTCTGGCGATAAGCAGGAAGAGCTGCAACTCACACTGGGGGATTCTGCCGAAGCCCAGACTTCAGTTCGTTACGGCAGAAGCACATCACGGACTGACGTCCGCAACATCGGTCCTGATGGCTGCCTGCAGTCGAGCCAGGTTGGTGGGAATTCAGCAAAAGAGATGGACTGTCCAGGGGTTCAGGGAGAAGATCGCGAAGCTGCCATTTCACTCACTGATGCACTCGAGGAGGATGCTCGCACGCCTGTCTTGGCGACCGTAGATGTAGACGTTGGGTTAGAGTTGGAGGGCGGGCGAACGTGTTCCAAGCTGGCTGTTGCCGGGCCAGGCAGTTCGGATCTGCATGTCGATATACCTTTGCCGACTCTGCCAGCGTCCGTGCCATCGGATAGCGATGCCGTCGATCCTGAGTTGAGCACAAGGCAACAGCAAGATGCATCCGAGGCGTCTGCCAGCTTCCTTGAGGCCACCAATGAGCTGCCTATGTGCGCAGACTGTGCAGCTTCTGGTTTAGACTCGCGGAGCTTCGCCAGTGCCACCAGTGCCCTGCCCGATCAGCAGATGCTTACGGTTGGTTCAGCTGGAGCGAGCAATTTGCCGGCTTCCAGCCATGCCGCAGACAGCCGAACGAAGCAGATTGAGCCAGCGCTGCGTCATTCCCCCTCCACTTCATGCCTGAGTTTGAAGACTTCAGTGGCTCGGAAGGATATGAAGGATTGCCGGTCGAGCGAGGCTGCGGCTTGCAACATCGAAGTCCCTCCCTCTCTCCCACCTTCCCTCCCACTCAAGACTAAACGTCCATCTATGCAAGCTGCAAGACCTCATGTGCCATCGCGGCTCAAAGACCGACCTGCCAGGCGCCGAAGCCGAAGAACAAACCCTTCGAGTCCCGGCCGGTCCCGGTGTCGAAGAAGCAGCCCGAAGGGGCCACCAAAGTGCGCCCTTCGAGACTTACAGCGGGTCGGCCCGGCTCGATTGAAAGCTCTCCAGGTTGAAGACAGTTTGCAGCCGCGACCATGCTCTTGACGAGGTTCCCTTCCTTCGCAGCCGCACCACAAGGAGCCGACAGCGACAAGCCACGCTCCGGAGAAGGAGAAGGCAGGACATGGCAGGACCTCAACGGCGCATCTCCTGAGCTGCGCGTAGCTTGCCCGAGGGGCTGTGCTGTCGTCGGGCAGGCCAGCCAGTCTAAGAAGGACGTCCGCGAGTTCTGGCAGGCCCACGGACTTCTGTGAAAAGCTGCTGCCAGGGGAAGATTTGAAACAGCTTTACTGGCTTTGCTTCAAGCCCAGGGCGGTTTGAGGCGCGAGTTGGTGCGCTTTGGTGGTAAGGTATCTGCTGATGGCATTTGATGCATGCGCTTGGCTAAGCCTTGTACCGACTCTACTAGTAGCAGACTCTAGCACGGTTTGAAAAAGCTTGTATCAGTCAGAGTAGGTATGCAATTCTGGAGTCAGTGCGGCTTGTTCAGACATCCGGCCATCTGGCTGTTGAGCCTTGCAAGAGGCTTTGGACAAGAAGGCCGTGGAGTCGGAAAAGACCAGCAGGATACCGCGACCCAGGATGGGCCGGGCTGGGCGATGCTTGCGCAAACCTGGTTTGAAAGGTGAGCTTCTAAGCCCTTCTCGATTGCCCAATGTCCTTGGTTCTGCAGGTGTAATTCAACGTCATGTTGAGTATCCATTGACAGTTTATAGTAGCACTTAGGATGCTGAGTTTTTGAGGTTTCCAGAGTATCTGGCCTAGTTCAATGGCTTGAATCCCGACTGATCTGCCGATGGGCTCAAAACCCTAAACCCCCTAAACCCCCTAAAACCCCTATACCCTACACCCTACACCCTAAACCCTAAACCCTAAACCCTAAACCCTAAACCCCTAAACCCCTAAACCCCTAAAACCCCTAGACCCTACACCCTACCAGTGCAGGATCCCCGGCACGGCAACATGCGGCGAGGCCGCTGCTCCGCAGGCCTCGTCGACCATCGCAGCGGCGCCGGCGATGCAGTCAGAAATCCCTTACGGTCCTTTTTGCTCCATTTCGTGTTTTGCTAGCATCAAATTACCCCAACACTGTTAGCATCATGTACCCCAACACTGTAGTTTAATCTACTTAATATGGGGGTTTCCGAAAATAGGGGCCCCTAATATAGCACCCTAAATAGTAGGATCCTTATTATAAGGACCTTAAAATACGATACCCTAATTTTCGGAAACTCCCATATGACTGTTAGTCAGGAGAAGAGAGGCGAACCGCGGGATCGACCTTCCGAGCCGCGGCTGCCATCGAAGAAGACCCTGGCTCCCAGCAAGATTCCGCGCCCGCGGCTCCCCACGGGCCGCTTGGCATGACCCAGTGGCCAGGTGGCCCTGAACCCTGAACCCTAAACCCTAAACCCTGAACCCTGAACCCTAAACCCTAAACCCTAAACCTTAAACAGGGATGCTGCTGCGCGAGGTACGAGCAGGGCTCCGGCAGGGCAGGAGGAGCGCCCGAAGCCCAAGGCCAGAGCGTTGTGCAAGGTACTCACGCTCAGAGCTTGCAGGGGCCACCATGCTTTTGTCCAGGTACCAGACAGGAAGGCTGCGGCCATGGAGAGAGCAGACACCATCCCAGCAAGGAGCCTGCATGCCTCTGCCATCCTCTGCCCCTGCGTGACAGAAAGGGAATGTCGAGTTGAGTCTAAAGTCTAAAGCCAGAAGTGTTTTAGCTTGGCTGCATCGGACAATGGTGAACGCAAAGCACTTGCACAGCCTTCAGGATTGCGGCTGCTGCAAAAGCCCCCAGCAGAAAGACGACGACAAAGGCGCGAAGGACTGTGAGCTTCAAGGAGCCCAACCACGAGCTTTCCGAGGGCATGGCCGAAAATGCATCTGCAATTTGCCGAGATTCGCCGAGCGTCGCCAATGTGACCGATGCTAGCACAGGAGATGTGTTGCAGTGCGGGCCAGCCTTGGAGCAGTCAGCCGAGCATCGCTCCGTCGGGAACATGGCCGCAGACTTGGAGCACATCGACGACGGAGCTGCGCGCAAGGATTCAAGCATGGATTCTGAACCGGCGGAGGCGGAGCTTTGTGTCCCACTTGCCGAGTCGCATGCGCTTGGCGAGCGCCCGGTGCAAGCTTGCGATTCTGCTTCAGAGTCTGGCAAGACGCAGCAACAGCTGCAACTCACGCCAGGGGAGTGTGTCGAAGCCCCGATTTCAGTGGATGGCAGAAGCGCATCACAGACGGATGTCTGCGACATCGGGCTTGATGATGGCTGCACGCAGTTGGGCGAGTTAGATGATGTATACGGGAACTTTGCAGAAGAGATGGGCAGTCCAGGGCCTCAGCGAGAAGATCGCGAACTTGGCACTTCCAGTACGGATGCACTTGGGGAGGAATCCTGCACGCCTGTCTTGGCTTTAGCTGCGGATGGTGCATCAGCGTTGGAGGATGAGCAAGTGCCGGGTGAGTCGGTGGTTTGTTCAGAGCTTGCTGGAGCCGACCCAAGCAATTCGGATCTGGATTTGGGCATCGCTGCGCCAAATCTGCCAGCATCCGTACCATCTGACTCCGAGGTCAGCGATGCAACTCAATGCATGGCCTCGGGTGGCGAATCAGAGACGGCTTTTAGCATCAAGCAGGCCGCGCAAGAGCTTTCCGAGGGCATTGCAGAAAGTGCAGCCGACTCCGATGGTTTGGCTTCGCCGACCAACGCGGCCGATGTGAGCACGGGTCCTTCTCAAGCATGCGATGAGCCTTCTGAGGAGAGGCTGAGCGGAAGCGACGGAGACGAGTTGGTGCGTGGGCACGACTTGGAGCTGTGCCAAGACAAGCCCTCTCCNNTGCATGGAAGTCGTGCATGGCACCGTTGGGAACATGGCCGCCGACTTGGAGCACATCGACGACGGAGCTATGTGCAAGGATTCCAGCATGGATTCTGAACCGGCGGAGGCGGAGCTTTGTGTCCCGCATGCCGAGCCGCATGCGCTTGGCGAGTGCCCGGTGCAAGCTTGCGATTCTGCTTCAGAGTCTGGTAAGACGCAGCAACAGCTGCAACTCACGCCAGGGGAGTGTGTCGAAGCCCCGATTTCAGTGGATGGCAGAAGCGCATCACAGACGGATGTCTGCGACATCGGGCTTGATGATGGCTGCGCGCAGTTGGGCGAGCTAGATGATGTATACGGGAACTTTGCAGAAGAGATGGGCAGTCCAGGGCGTCAGCGAGAAGATCGCGAACTTGGCACTTCCAGTACGGATGCACTTGGGGAGGAATCCTGCACGCCTGTCTTGGCTTTAGCTGCGGATGGTGCATCAGCGTTGGAGGATGAGCAAGTGCCGGGTGAGTCGGTGGTTTGTTCAGAGCTTGCTGGAGCCGACCCAAGCAATTCGGATCTGGATTTGGGCATCGCTGCGCCAAATCTGCCAGCATCCGTACCATCTGACTCCGAGGTCAGCGATGCAACTCAATGCATGGCCTC